CTGCCGGCCCCGCATGGCGCCGGCTCGGCCGGGCCGCCTTCCTCCCGAGTCCGGCCGCCGCGGCCCAGGGCAGGCCCGGGGTGCGAGCGCGGCGCCGCTGGGCCGGCGGTGCAGCTGCTCCCGGGGCGCCACACGCGCCCGGGACACGCGGAAAGTTCATTTCTTCAGGAGGCCTCGGAATTTAGACCGCAGCCAACCGAGAGAGAAAAAGATAGTGAGGTAGTGCAATCACATGCTTAGAAAGTGATTTGTGTGCACATTTATTTTTAAAGAAGTTTTAAAAATAGTTCACCAGGGAAAATTCTACCGGGGCGTTTGGGATGGCAGCGTTAGGGGGAAAGTCCTTTGTCATTTACGTGCCTGAGATTGCAAAAACCGTACCATGCTTTTCGAGTCAGGCCTTATAATTGCAGGTGACAGTATTTTGATTTTTCTTTACCTCCCCCCCTTTTTCCTATCATAAAAACAATACATTCTCATTAATGAAAATACGGAAAACGAAGAAAATGATTATACCTTACCCCACAGTTTCGTCACTAAAACTCTCTTAGGTTTGTAGTCCTGAATCAGCATTTTCAAGTTCTGCAATATCTACCTTAAAAAAAAAGAAAAAAACACGAACAAAAATCTATCCTGTATGTTAAGGAGAAGTTAACAGCAGTTAAAATGATGCGGGGCGGGGGTTGGGGGAGAATGATTAAGTGCAATGTTTGGGGAATGAACTATTCCAATTCAATTGTCCTGTAGACCCAGGCTTAAGCAGGAACCTTAGTAAGACATTTTAAAATCTTTTTCTAAAATGAACCAGTCATCTTTCCTGATACAGCAAAAGTAATAAATATAATTTATTATTACAAATCGTTACTTTTGTTGCCTAGGGATATCGCATGATCCTGTTGTGATGTTCTGTGCCTGTGCCAAGGGCAGAATAATATACTGAGGTGTGCAGAACAGGTAACAGGCGACCGTGAGCGACTGTCATTCCTACAGGCTCCACAGTAGTTTGGCCGGGTGTGGTGGCTCAGGCCTGTAATCCTAGTTCCTGTGGAGGGCCAGCTGAGAGGATGCCTTGAGCTCTGGAATTCAAGACCAGCCTGAGCAAGAGTGAGACCCCATCTCTACTGAAAATAGAAAAGACTAGCGGGGCATGGTGGGCTGGCCTGGAGTCCCAGGCAGCTGCAGCCAGAGGATCACTTGAACCCAGGAGTCTGAGGTTGCTGTGAGCTGTGATGACACCAGAGCACTCTACCCAGAGTGACACTGTGAAATTTGGTCTCAAAAAAATGAAACAACAACAAAAATAATAATTATTACATATTAAAATGCATACGTAGTATATGCTGGCTTTGAAAATCGAGGAAGGTGCTGGGAGTCAAGGAATGTGAGTAGCCTGGAGAAGCTGAAAAAGGCAAGGGCATGGATTCTCCCCTAGAGTTCCTGAAAGAAAAGGAACTGCCTTGTTTTTAGTCCAGTGAGACCGATTGTTGACCTTAGAGAACTGTAAGAGAATTTGTGTTTAGTTGTTCAATAGTTGTAATTTGTTATAATACTGCATAGAACAGGAAACAAAGTAGAGTAGTATTAAAGAAGTCTTTTAAGCAACTTGAGTTAGGATTTTTCAGACAAAGCCCATTGTTTTCAGTGCTATTATTTCCAGCTAATTTCTATGGGATTCCATAATTCCAATTTTAAAGGAGAGGTATGGATTAAACCAATGGTTCTCCAGCATTATCATACAGTAAGAATGATTGGGAGGGCTTGTTAGCACAGATGGCGCTACCCCCCCTCCAGAGTTTCTGATTCCATGACTCTGGAGTGGGACCTGAGAATCTGCATTTCTGACAAGTTCCCAGGTGGTACAGAGATGGCTGATCACAAGGCTACACTCTGAGAACCACTAAATTAAACAATTACAAAATGCTTTTCCAATTCAATGATTCAGATTCTATGAGTCTACAATTACAAGTAGACTGGTACAAGTATTACCAGTTTCCATATTCAGGGATACATTAAAAATAGTTTCTAAAAATCAATGTCTTGCCACATGACTATGATCAACAGAGTTGTTAGTGTCATGTGTACTGTTACCTAGGATTCAGGGCCTAGAAATTTTCACATTTAGGACATTGCCAAAGATAGGTGTATTTGGTGCACATACAAATATATATTTAGTGTATGTACAAATATTCAATTACTCCTTCTTCCTTATAATATTTTCAAAGCTCAGAGATGTTATGAAGAATGCCTTTGAATTGCAAAACCAGTTTTTTTTGTTATTCATTCAATTTTTATTAAAAGTCTAGCATACATTTATATTTAGCATATTCCATTTGTATTTAGCCAATTCCAAGCCAGCTAAGTTATTATCATAAAAAGCAACATTTTATCCTGGCATAAAAAATAAATACAATGGAGAAAATACACTATTTTAAACCTGAATAGATAGGTATTACTGTGGGATAGTTACCTATTTTTTCTAATAAAGAAAATTTGGAGAGGAAAAACAAAATAGGGTCCTATCACACAAGATTCTAACCCTAATGCAATATTCTCTTCTCCAATGCCTTTTTATTAATGCACTTACTCTGATTACCCATTCCCAGGTCACACCCAGAACCTGCTTGTCTTTCAAACTGAGTACAGGCATATCTCATTGTATTGCATTTCATTTTCTTGCTCTTTTTTTTTTTTTTGAGACAGAGCCTCAAGCTCTCCCCCGGCTAGAGTGCCATGGCATCACAGCTCACAACAACCTCCAACTCCTGGGCTCAAGCGAGTCTCCTGCCTCTGCCCTCCAAGTAGCTGGGACCACAGGCACTCACCACAACGCCCAGCTATTTTTTGGTTGCAGCCATCTTTGTTGTTTGGTGGGCCCAGGCTGGATTTGAACCTGCCACCTCAGGTGTATGTGGCTGGTGCCTTAGCCACTTGAGCCACAGGCACGGAGCCATTTTTTTTTTTTTTCATTTTCTTGCTCTTTCTGACACTGACAGTGCTTTTCTTTCTTTCTTTCTTTTTTTTTTAATTTTAACAAGTGGAAGCATGGGCTTACTTTGTATCTCTGTGTCACATTTTGGTAATTCTTGCAATGTTTCAAATGTTTTCATTATTATATCTATTATGGTGATTTGTGAATCTGTGATCAGTGGTAGTTGAGGTTACTCTTTGGAGCTCCACAGACTGCACCCTTTTAAGCAGAGAACTTAACAGATACTACCTGTGGTTCTGATTGCTCCACCAACCAACCATCCTCCCATCTCTCTCCTTCACCTCACGCCTCCTTTTTCCCTGAGCCTGAGCTATTCAAATCAGGCCAGTGAATAAACATACACTAAGTGTTCACGTGAAAAAGGAAGAGTTCATGTGAAAAAGGAAGGCCTCTAAGTGTTCACGTGAAAAAGGAAGAGTCACATGTTCCTCACCTTAATTGAAAAGTTTATAAGCTTAGTGGTGAAAGCTGAGATAGGCCTCTTAGCCAAGTTAGCCAAGTTGTGAATGGCAAGGAAAAGTTCTTAAAGAAAATTAAATGTTGGGCAGCATCTGTGGCTTGAGGAGTAGGGCGCTGGTCCCATCTGCCAGAGGTGGCGGGTTCAAACCCAGCCTGTGCCAAAAACTGCAAAATGTTACCCCCATGAACACAAAAATAATAAGAAAGCAAAGCAGACTTAAGTGTTCTGGATAAAACATTAAACAGCCACAATATTCCCTTCAGCCAAAGCATAATCCAGAGCAAGACGCTGTCTCTCATTTAATGAAGCTGCAAGACAGGCGAGAGAGCTGGAGAAGAAAAGTCCAGGGTGAAGAAGAGATGAGAAGCTGCAGCGCGTTCTCCCGAGATGGAGGTGAGATCACTGATGCAGGTGGCTGCTCTAAACAACAGGTTTTCAATGTAGATGAATAGCCTTCCCTTTTTTTTTTTTTTTTTTTGAGACAGTCTAACTATGTAGAGTTCTATAGCTTCACAGCTCACAGCAACTTCAAACTCCTGGGCTCAAGTGATTCTCTTGCCTCAGCCTCCCAAGTAGCTGGGACTACAGGTGTCCGCCACAATGCCCAGCTATTTTTAGAGATAAGGTCTCACTCTGGCTCAGGCTGGTCTGGAACCTGTGAACTCAGGCAATCTACCTGCCTCAACCT